AAAGCTGACTGAATTAAACAGCCAATTGAAGGCTGAAATTAAGGCTTGTAATGGCTTGTAATTCCTCTTTGAAAACTGATTGTAACTCCCAAGTCAAAGCTTTGAAATTCCTTGTAAAAGAATTTCAGATTCCAAGCTTAAATGGCTGCCATTTTGATGTATCTTTGCACTTGTACTTTTGTGTGAATGTGACAATATTTTTCGAACTAAAATCAGCTAAAAAGAACTAATAAAAAATATAACTAATTTGCAAACTTAAAATGACTAAAGTTTACAATTTATTCAAAGCATAAAAAGAACTAGAATAAACTAGTTAATAAGAACAACAAGAAATTCAAGGGATTGAATATCTTGTTGCCCATGGATAGAATGCATAGCACCAATACATGATGCTACATCTTGAACCAAAGAAATGTCCATAACCAAGTTGTTAGGCTTGGCTACAACACATTTGACTTTCATTATATTCAATTAGCATTAAGAATGCATTTAAATTTCATTAGATTCAAAAAGCTTTGTTTGAATGTGTTTGACTTTCATTTGATTCAATTAGTTTTGAAGAATGAATTTGACTATCATTTGATTCAATAAGATTTGTTTGAATGTGTTTGACTTTCATTTGATTTAATTAGCTTTGAAGAATGCATTTAACTTGCATTTGAATCAAAAAACTTTGTTTGAACGTGTTTGAATTTCATTTGTTTCAATTAGCTTTGAAGAATGCATTTGAATTTCATTTGATTTAAAAAGCTTTGTTTGAATGTGTTTGAGTTTCATTCTATTCAATTAGCTTTGAAGAATGCATTTGTCTTTCATTTGATTCAAAAAGCACTGTTAGAATGAGTTTGACTTTCATTTGATTCAATTAGCTTTGAAGAATTCATTTGACTTTCATTTGATTCAAAAAGATTTGTTAGTATGTGTTTGACTTTCATTTAATTCAATTAGCTTTGAAGAATGCATTTGACTTTCATTTGGTTCAAAAAGCTTTGTTTGAATGTGGTTGACTTTCGTATGATTCAATTTGCATTGTTGAATGCATTTGCCTTTCATTTGATTCAAAAGCTATGTTTAAATGTGTTTGACTTTCATTCGATTCAGATAGCTTTTAAGAATGCATTTGACTTTCATATGATTCAAAAAGCTTTGTTTGAATGAGTTTGACTTTCATTCTATTCAATTTGCTTTGAAGATTGCATTTGACTTTCATTTGAATCAAAAAGCTTTGTTTTAATGTGTTTGACTTTCATTTGATTCAATTAGCATGGTTGAATGCATTTGACATTCATTTTATTCAATTATCTTTGAAGAATGCATTTGACTTTCATTTGATTCAACAAGATTTGTTTGAATGTGTTTGACTTTCATTTGATTCAATTAGTTTTGAAGAATGCATTTGACATTCATTTCATTATAAAAGCTTTGTTTGAATGTGTTTGACTTTCATTCTATTCAATTAGCTTTGAGGAATGTATTTGAATTTCATTTGATTCAAAAAGCTTTGTTTGAATGTGTTTGACTTTATTTGTATCAATTAGCTTTGAAGAATGCATTTGTATTTCATTTAATTCAAAAAGCTTTGTTTGAATGTGTTTGATTTCCGTTTGATTCAATTAGCATTGTTGAATGTGTTAGATTTTCATTTGATTCAATTAGCATTGTTGAATGCATTTGCCTTTCATTTGATTCAAAATCTATATTTGGATATGTTTGACTTTAATTCGATTCAATTAGCTTTTAAGAATGCATTTGACTTTCATTTGATTCAAAAAGCTTGGTTTGAATGTTTTTGACTTTCATTGTATTCAATTAGCTTTGAAGAATGCATTTGACTTGCATTTGATACAAAAAGCTCTTTTAGAATGTGTTTGACTTTCATTTGATTCAATTAGTTTTGAAGAATGCATTTGACTATCATTTGATTCGATAAGCTTTGTTTGAATGTGTTTGACTTTCATTCTATTCAATTAGATTTGAAGAATGCATTTAAATTTTATTTGATTCAAAATTGTTTGTTTGAATGTGTTTGACTTTTATTTGTTTTAATTACCTTTGAAGAATGCATTTGTTTTTCATTTTATTCAAAAAACTTTGTTAGATTGTGTTTGACTTTCATTTAATTCAATTAGTTTTGAAGAATGCATTTGACATTCATTAGATTATAAAAGCTTTGTTAGAATGTGTTTGACTTTCATTCTATTCAATATGCTTTGAAGAATGCATTTGACTTTCATTTGATTCAAAAAGCTTTGTTTGAATGTGTTTGACTTTCATTTGATTCAATTAGCTTCGAAGAATGCATTTTACTTTCATTTGATTCAAAAAGCTTTGTAAGAATGTGTTTGACTTTCATTTGATTCAATTATCTTTGAAGAATGCATTTGACTTTCATTTAATTCATAAAGCTTTGTTTGAATGTGTTTGACTTTCATTCTATTCAATTAGCTTTGAAGAATGCATTTCACTTTTATTTGATTCAAAAAGCTTTGTTTGAATGTGTTTGACTTTCATTTGTTTCAATTAGCTTTGAAGAATGTATTTGTATTTCATTTTATTCAAAAAGCTTTGTTAGAATGTGTTTGACTTTCATTCTATTCAATTAGCTTTGAAGAATGCATTTGATTTTCATTTGATTCAAAAAGCTTTATTTGAATGTGTTTGACTTTCATTTGATTCAATTAGTATTGTTGAATGTATTTGACTTTCATTCTATTTAATTAGCTTTGAAGAATGCATTAGATTTTCATTTGATTCAAAAAGCTTTGTTTAAAAGTGTTTGACTTTCATTTGATTCAATTAGTTTTGAAGAATGCATTTAACATTCATTTGATAATAAAAGCTTTGTTTTAATGTATTTGACTTTCGTTCTATTCAATTAGCTTTGAAGAATGCATTTGACTTTTATTTGATACAAAAAGCTCTGTTAGAATGTGTTTGACTTTCTTTGATTCAATTAGCTTTGAAGAATGCATTTGACTTTCATATGATTCAAAAAGCTTTGTTAGAATGTGTTCGACTTTCATTTGATTCAGTTATCTTTGATGAATGCATTTGACTTTAATTTGGTTCAAAAAGCTTTGTTTGAATGTGTATGACTTGATGCAAATCATGATGAGTCCATTAGTCCAATCAAGCATGATCATCTTACTAGTCCAATTTACAAAGAAATCATTCTTGCTAAGTCATTTGAAGATCAAGTGTTAGATACTTTTTGTGCGCATGGACCGTTTCTTGTTAACCAAGGGTTTACTTGTTTACATTCTGGTTATGAATGTTAATGGGCATCCTAAGCACGTTTTCATCAGCCTTAGGCATAGGAAAAGGCGTCCTTGAAGCAAGAAGAAACTTCATTACAAGTCATAAACATTCAGCATTAAAAAAGGCATGAATCAAGGGGAGGTTACTCCACGTTTTTGTTGGTTCTTTATGGCTGTTTTTAAGCTTCTTTTCAGAAGTTTTTAAGAGGTTAATTAAGGGTGATTAAATCCTAAAATCAGTTAAGAAAATCTGTTTAACTTAGGCGTGATTCTAGGCTAAGTTTTAGCTTTCATGTTTAGTTACAATAAACACACATTAAGCTTGTTTAATGCGTGTAGTTTAGCACTAGTTTGCTTTCTTTATTTAAGCTTATGCAATGTAAGTGTATGATGGATTATGATATATGAATTAAGAAAGTTTTCTCCTTAAAACTATTTATTCTTGTTGCTAAGATAAATCGTTTTGTTGCCAAGTTTAACTTGACGAATTTGAGTGGTTAAGTGAGTTTTCCTTCCATGCAAATTAAACAACTAGTGGGTTTTAAGTGAGGAATCCTTGCCTACATATCTTGTTTGTTTAAGTGAGTAATCCTTACAAACTAATCCTTCTTTCCTCTATAAAACGTTCCTTAACCATTTTCCAAAACAACCTACAAACTTTTACCCGTAATTGAACTAAAAAAAACCAACCTCTTTTTTTTCCACTTGAGTTTGATCCATTAAGCATGTATTAACTAAGACTTTCTATTAGTTTTTACATCATTGGTGCGTCAGGTAGGGGACATTTCTGTCCAAATGGATCAAGCAAACCCAAATGAAACCATTGACCAAAGGAGACTTCGAATTCTGGAGGAAAACCAACAAAGACTCTTGGAAACCAATGAGCAATTACATGGTAATATAATGGCTCTAATGGCTCGTTTGTTGACACAAGAACAAAGGGATGGGCGTAAAAACCCTCCTAGATATGATGACAAGAGTCTAAAGGTGGATTTAGACCTTTTTGATGGTACTCTTGACCCTGAGAGGTACTTGGAGTGGGAGCAATCACTTGAGAGGTACTTTGAGTTCAAAGACGTTGAGGAAGATGAACAAAAGTACAAGATTGCTAAGGTAAAGATAGCCAAGTATGCTGAAACTTGGTTGAAAGGAGTCCAAAGAAAACGAGAAAGCAATGGGAAAACTCGTATTTCTACATGGACCAAGCTTAGGAAGAAACTTAGGGGACGATTTGTTCCTTCTAATTACAAGCAATCCATGTATGTGAAATGGAGTTTTTTGCAGCAAGGAGGGAGTAGTGTGGAGGAATACATTAAAGAATTTGAGAAACTTTCAATTGTGTTCGAAATAGTGGAAAATGAAGAACTCAAATTAGGGAGGTTTATGGCTGGTTTGGGGATAAGGACATTTATGAGAAAGTAGAGGTGCAACCCAATCTAACCTTTGATGAAGCTTGTAAGCTTTCGGTGAAATTTGACAATCAAAGGAAGAAGAAAAAACCTTCGAACTCTTTTGACCCAAAATTCAAACGTGCATTTAACCCACCAAAAGAAACCCCTTCCTTTCCAAATTCCACTACCAAAAAGAACCCTACCTCGTTTGATCTTTCACAAAAAGAAAAAGGAAAAAGCCAAAACCGGAGACTTAAGTGACATTGTTTGTTTCAAATGTCACGGAAGAGGACACTACAAGAGAGATTGTCCTAATGCAAGAGCTTTAACCATACGAGAGCTTAAGAATATGATGGCACAAAGTTTTGTCCTTGAAGAAGAGAAGGAGGCCGAAAATGGTAGAGAAAATGTACCTTTAGAGTCTTATGATTCTAATGAGGAGGAGGAGCAAGTTGATGACTGTTTTCCCGAAAAAAATAGTCTGGTAATGAGGAGAGCCCTCCAAATGCACGTGGAGGTTGAGAAAACCCCAATTCAAAGAGAGAATGTCTTCTTAACCAAATGCAAGGTTAATGAAGATGTGTGTGACTTGATTGTTGATAGTGGCAGTGAGGCTAATGTTGTGTCAAGTGATCTTGTTAAGAAACTTGACTTGAAGACTACTAGACATCCTACTCCTTACAAGTTGAGTTGGCTTGATAAGAGCAAGAGTACGGGGGTTAGAAAACAATGTCTAGTAAAATTTCAGATTGGTTCGTATGTGGATGAAATTTTATGTGATGTCATTCCCATGGATGCTTGTCACATTTTGTTAGGGAGGCCATGGCAAAGTGACAAAAAATCAGTACATGATGGCCTATCAAACACCTACACCATTACTCACCAAGGCAGCAAGAAAGTGTTGCACCCCTTACCACCACAAAAAAGCCTTTCCCAAACACAATCCCCACCACCACAAAAAGAGCCCAAAAGAAAGGACATTTTGTTGCTTTCCTTAAAAGAATTCAAAAACTCTTTGGAGAAAGAAGATGAAGTGTTCTTATTGTTTTCTAATGAGGAACACGAAGGTTTTGTCCAACAAAACCCTAGGCTAGCCGCATTGATCAAGGAGTATGAAGATGTTTTTCCTAATGAATTACCACAAGGGTTGCCTCCTATTCGTGGTATAGAGCATCAAATAGATTTGATTCCGGGAGCCCCCCTTCCAAATAAACCCCCTGATAGATGCAATCCCATGGAAACTAAGGAATTACAAAGACAAATTGAGGAGTTGATTCAAATGGGTTACGTGAGAGAATCCATGAGTCCTTGTGCCGTTCCAGCTTTGTTAGTGCCAAAAAAGGATGGAACATGGAGGATGTGTATTGATAGTAGGGCGGTGAATAACATAACCATTAAGTATAGGTTTCCTATTCCTAGACTTGATGATATGTTAGATGAGTTAAGTGGAGCTCAAGTGTTTTCCAAGATAGATTTAAGGAGTGGATATCACCAAATTAGAATGAGGGGAGGTGATGAGTGGAAAACAACCTTTAAAACTAAGCATGGTTTGTATGAGTGGCTTGTTATGCCGTTTGGATTAACAAATGCTCCAAGCACCTTCATGAGACTTATGAACGAAATGTTGAGGCCATTTTTGGGGAAGTTCGTAGTTGTTTACTTAGATGACATTCTCATCTATAGTAAAAATGAGGAGGAACACTTGAAACATTTGGAAGAGATTTTCAAAACCTTGAGAGAGCAACAATTGTATGGAAAGTTGGAGAAATGCCATTTTTTGCTAACGGATATTGTTTTCCTTGGTTATATTATTTCAGGTGAAGGAATTAAAGTTGATCCGAGCAAAGTGGAAGCCATTTCTTCATGGCCAATTCCAAAAACAGTCACGGAGGTTCGTTCATTTCATGGACTTACATCGTTCTATAGGCGGTTCATTGAACATTTTAGCACCCTTATGGGTCCCATCACCGAATGTACAAAGAAGGGAAGTTTTCAATGGACTCCCCAGGCTCAAAAGGCGTTTGAGTTGGTGAAAAAAAAGATGTGTGAAGCGCTGGTTCTAGCACTTCCAGATTTCATGAAACCATTTGAAGTTGAGTGTGGTGCAAGTGGAAAAGGAATAGGGGCTGTCCTAATCCAAGAGAAGAAGCCAATTGCGTATTTTAGTGAGAAATTGAGTCAAGGCAAATTGAATTACTCCACTTATGACAAGGAATTCTATGCCATGGTTCGAGCTTTGGACCATTGGTCACATTATTTGAGGCCACAGCCTTTCATCTTACACTCGGATCATGAATCTTTCAGGTTCATTCATGGGCAAAAGAAGTTGAATGCAAGGCATGCTAAGTGGGTGGAATTCCTACAATCTTTCAACTTTGCAACCAAGTACAAGAAGGGCAAAACCAATATTGTGGCGGATGCATTATCAAGAAGGCATAATCTTCTTGGAATCATGGAAACTAAAATTCTTGGTTTCGAGGTCATGAAGGAATCATACAAAGATGATCTTGAACTCAAGGAAATCATGGAGTCTTGCAAAAATGGAGTCCACGGTTCATTTGTCATAGTAGATGGTTTCCTTTTCAAAGGGAACAAACTTTGTGTTCCTAAAGGTGCAATTCGAGAGTTGTTGATCAAGGAAGCTCATGGAGGAGGACTTGCTGGTCATATGGGTATACAAAAGACCCTAGAAATTTTACAAAGTCATTTTTATTGGCCAAGAATGTTAGCTAATGTGCACCAAGTTTTGGCTAGGTGTTCTATTTGTCAAAGAGCCAAAATGTCGTTTCATAAGGGAGAGTATAAGCCTTTGCCCATTCCCGAAAGACCTTGGGAAGATTTGAGTATGGATTTCATAATGGCCTTGCCTAGAACAGCTCGTGGAAAAGATTCTATCATGGTGATCGTTGATCGGTTTTCAAAGATGGCTCATTTCATAGCTTGTAAGAAGGTGGATGATGCGTTCAATGTGGCACAACTTTTTTTTAAGGAAGTGGCTAGATTACATGGTTTGCCTAGAACCATAGTTTCGGATCGTGATACTAAGTTTGTGAGTCATTTTTGGAAGTCCTTGTGGAGGCTCGTGGGTACTAAGTTACTTTTCTAAACTAGCCATCATCCACAAACAGATGGTCAAACCGAAGTGGTGAACCGAATTCTTGGTTCTTTGCTTCGTGCCTTAGTGAATAAGGGAGGTAATGATTGGGACTTGAAGTTAGCTCATGCAGAATTTGCCTACAACAGAACTCCAAGCAAAACTACAAAGTATTCACCTTTTGAAGTTGTGTATGGTGTGAATCCTTATGTGCCGATTGATTACATTTCGCTTCCTAAAGATAAGTTCGTGCATGGAATAGCCAAGGAGCATATAGAATTCATGATTGATGTCCATAAAGAAGTTAGGAAGAACATAGAAAAGGCAAATGAGTCATACAAGAAGCAAGCTAACAAAAACTTGAGAAATATGAAGAAGTTCAAAGTGGGTGATCTTGTGTGGATATTTTTGCGCAAAGAAAGGTTTCCTAAGCAAAGGAAACACAAATTGATGCCTAGGGCAGAAGGGCCTTTTCAAATCATGGAAAAGATCAATGATAATGCTTACAAAGTGGACCTTGGAGGGCAATTCGAAGTTTCATCAACTTTCAACGTGGGTGACTTGGCTCCTTATCTAGAAGATGATGAGTTGAGGGCAACTCCTTTCGAAGAAGGGGAGGATGATGCAAATCATGACGAGTCCATTAGTCCAATCAAGCATGATCATCTTACTAGTCCAATTCACAAAGAAATCATTATTGCTAAGTCATTTGAAGATCAAGTGTAAGATACTTTTTGTGCGCATGGACCGTTTCTTGTTAACCAAGGGTTTACTTGTTTACATTCTGGTTATGAATGTTAATGGGCATCCTAAGCACGTTTTCATCAGCCTTAGGCATAGGAAAAGGCGTCCTTGAAGCAAGGAGAAACTTCATTACAAGTCATAAACATTCAGCATTAAAAAAGGCATGAATCAAGGGGAGGTTACTCCACGTTTTTGCTGGTTCTTTATGGCTGTTTTTAAGCTTCTTTTCAGCAGTTTTTAAGAGGTTAATTAAGGGTGATTAAAGCTTAAAATCAGTTAAGAAAATCTGTTTAACTTAGGCATGATTCTAGGCTAGGTTTTAGCTTTCATGTTTAGTTACAATAAACACACATTAAGGTTGTTTAATGCGTGTAGTTTAGCACTAGTTTGCTTTCTTTATTTAAGCTTATGCAATGTAAGTGTATGATGGATTATGATATATGAATTAAGAAAGTTTTCTCCTTAAAACTATTTATTCTTGTTGCTAAGATAAATCGTTTTGTTGCCAAGTTTAACTTGACGAATTTGAGTGGTTAAGTGAGTTTTCCTTCCATGCAAATTAAACAACTAGTGGGTTTTAAGTGAGTAATCCTTGCCTACATATCTTGTTTGTTTAAGTGAGTAATCCTTACAAACAAATCCTTCTTTCCTCTATAAAACGTTCCTTAACCATTTTCCAAAACAACCTACAAGCTTTTACCCGTAATTGAACTAAAAAAAACCAACCTCTTTTTCTTTCCACTTGAGTTTGATCCATTAAGCTTGTATTAACTAAGACTTTCTATTAGTTTTTACTCATGACTTTTATATGATTCAATTTGCATTGTTGAATGTATTTGCCTTTCATTTGATTCAAAAGCTATATTTGAATGTGTTTGACTTTCACTCGATTCAATTAGCTTTTTAGAATGCATTTGACTTTCATTTGATTTGAAAAGCTTTGTATGAAAGTCTTTGACTTTCATTTGACTCAATTAGTTTTGAAGAATGCATTTGAATTTCATTTAATTCAAAAAGCTTTGTTTGAATGTGTTTGACTTTCATGCTATTCAATTAGCTTTGAAGAATGCATTTGACTTTTACTTGATTCAAAAAATTTTGTTTGAATGTGTTTGACTTTCATTTGTTTCAATTAGCTTTGAAGAATGCATTTGTATTTCATTTTATTCAAAAAGCTTTGTTAGAATGTGTTTGACTTTCATTTAATTGAATTAGTTTTGAAGAATGCATTTAACATTCATTTGATTATAAAAGCTTTGTTACAATGTGTTTGACTTTCATTCTATTCAATTAGCTTTGAAGAATGCATTTCACTTTCGTTTGATGCAAATAGCTTTGTTTGAATGTGTTTGACTTTCGTCTGATTCAATTAGCATTGTTGAATGCATTTGACTTTCATTTTATTCAATTAGCTTTGAAGAATGCATTTGACTTTCATTTGATTCAAAAAGCTTTGTTTGAATGTGTTTGACTTTTATATGATTCAATTTGCATTGTTGAATGCATTTGCCTTTCATTTGATTCAAACAGCTATATTTGAATGTGTATGACTTTCATTCTATTCAATTAGCTTTGAAGAATGCATTTGCATTTCATTTTATTCAAAAAGCTTTGTTGGAATGTGTTTGATTTTTATTTGATTTAATTAGCTTCTAAGAATGCATTTGACTTTCATGTGATTCAAAAAGCTTTGTCAGAATGTGTCTCACTTTCATTTGATTCAATTATCTTTGAAGAATGCATTTGACTTTCATTTGGTTCAAAAAGCTTTGTTTGAATGTGTTTTACTTTCATATGATTCAATTTGCATTGTTGAATGCATTTGCCTTTCATTTGATTCAAAAGCTATATTTGAATGTGTTTGACTTTCATTCTATTCAATTATCTTTAAAGAATGCATTTGACTTCCATTTGATTCAAAAAGCTTTGTTTGAATGTGTTTTACTTTCATTCTATTCAATTCGCTTTGAAGAACGCATTTGCCTTTCATTTGATTCAAAAGCTATATTTGAATGTGTTTGACTTTCATTCTATTCAATTATCTTTAAAGAATGCATTTGACTTTCATTTGATTCAAAAAGCTTTGTTTGAATGTGTTTTACTTTCATTCTATTCAATTCGCTTTGAAGAATGCATTTGACTTTCATTTGATTCAAACAACTTTGTTTGAATGTGTTTGACTTTTATTTGATTCAATTAGCTTCTACGAATGCATTTGACTTTCATTTGCTTCAAAAAGCTTTATTTGAATGTGTATGACTTCCATATGATTCAATTTGCATTGTTGAATGTGTTTGCCTTTCATTTGATTCAAAAGCTATATTTGAATGCGTTTGACTTTCATTCTATTCAATTAGCTTTTAAGAATCCAATTGACTTTCATTTGATTAAAAAAACTTTGTTTAAATGTGTATGACTTTCATATGATTCAATTTGCATTGTTGAATGCATTTGCCATTCATTTGATTTAAAAGCTATATTTGAATGTGTTTGACTTTCATTCTATTCAATTAGCTTTGAAGAATGCATTTGTATTTCATTTTATTCAAAAATTTTGTTGGAATGTGTTTGACTTTTATTTGATTCAATTAGTTTCAAAGAATGCATTTGACATTCATTTGATTATAAAAGCTTTGTTAGAATGTGTTTTACTTTCATTTAATTCAAAAACCTTTGCTTGAATGTGTTTGACTTTCATTCTATTCAATTAGCTTTGAAGAATGCATTTGACTTTTATTTGATTCAAAAAGCTTTGTTTGAATGTGTTTGACTTTCATTTGTTTTAATTAGCTTTGAAGAATGCATTTGTATTTCATTTTATTCAAAAAGCTTTGTTGGAATGTGTTTGACTTTCATTTAATTCAATTAGTTTTGAAGAATGCATTTGACATTCATCTGATTATAAAAGCTTTGTAAGAATGTGTTTGACTTTCATTCTATTCAATTAGGTTTGAAGAATGCATTTGACTTTCATTTGATTCGAAAAGCTTTGTTAGAATGTGTTTGACTTTCATTTGATTCAATTACCTTTGAAGAATGCATTTGACTTTCATTTGGTTCAAAAAGCTTGTTTGAATGTGTACGACTTTCATATGATTCAATTTGCATTGTTGAATGCATTTGCCTTTCATTTGATTCAAAAGCTATATTTGAATGTGTTTGACTTTCATTCGATTCAATCAGCTTTTAAGAATGCATTTGACTTTCATTTGATTCAAAAAGCTTTGTTTGAATGTGTTTGACTTTCATTTGATTTAATTAGCTTTGAAGAATGCATTTGACTTTCATTTAATTCCAAAAGCTTTGTTTGAATGTTTTTTATTTTCATTCTATTCAATTAGCTTTGAAGAATGCATTTGAATTTTATTTGATTCAAAAAGCTTTGTTTGAATGTGTTTGACTTTCATTTGTTTCAATTAGCTTTGAAGAATGCATTTTTATTTCATTTTATTCGAAAAGCTTTGTTGGAATGTGTTTGACTTTCATTTAATTCAATTAGTTTTGAAGAATGCATTTGACATTCATTTGATTATACGAGCTTTGTTAGAATGTGTTTGACTTTCATTTTATTCAATTAGCTTTGAAAAATGCATTTGACTTTCATTAGATTCAAAAAGCTTTATTTGAATGTGTTTGACTTTCATTTGATTCAATTAGCATTGTTGAATGCATTAGACTTTCTTTCTATTCAATTAGCTTTGAAGAATGCATTAGATTTTCATTTGATTTAAACAACTTTGTTTAAATGTATTTGACTTTCATTTGATTCAATTAGCATTGAAAAATGCATTTGACTTTCTTTTGATTCAGAAAGCTTTGGTTGAATGTGTTTTACTTTCATTCTATTCAATTAGCTTTGAAGAATGCATTTGACTTTCATTTGATTCAAAAAGCTTTGTTTGAATGTGTTTGACTTTCATTTGTTTCAGTTAGCATTGTTGAATGCATTTGCCTTTCATTTGATTCAAAAGCTATATTTGAATGTGTTTGAATTTCATTATACTCAATTAGCTTTGAAGAATGCATTTGACTTTCATTTGATTCAAAAACTTTGTTTGAATGTGTTTGACTTTCATTTGATTCAATTAGCATTGTTAAATGCATTGGACTTTCTTTCTATTCAATTAGCTTTGAAGAATGCATTTGACTTTCATTTGATTCAAAAAGCTTTGTTTGAATGTGTTTGACTTTCATTTCATTTTATTAGTTTTGAAGAATGCATTTGACATTCATTTGATTATAAAAGCTTTGTTTCAATGTGTTTGACTTTCATTTTATTCAATTAGCTTTGAAGAATGCATTTGACTTTCATTTTATTCAATAAGCTTTGTTTGAATGTGTTCGAATATCATTTGTTTCAATTAGCTTTGAAAAGTGCATTTGCCTTTCATTTGGTTCAAAAGCTATATTTGAATATATTTGACTTTCATTCTATTCAATTAGCTTTAAATAATGCATTTGACTTTCATTTGATTCCAAAAGCTTTGTTTGGATGTGTGTGACTTTCATATGATTCAATTAGCATTGTTGAATGCATTTGCCTATCATTTGATTAAAAAGCTATATTAGAATGTGTTTGACTTTCATTTGATTCAATTAGCTTTAAAGAATGCATTTGACTTTCATTTGATTCAATTAGATTTGAAGAATGCATTTGAATTTCATTTGATTCAAAAAGCTTTGTTTGAATGTGTTTGACTTTCATTTGATTCAATTAGCATTGTTGAATGTGTTTGACTTTCATTTGATTATATTAGCATTGTTGAATGCATTTGTCTTTTATTTGATTCAAAAGCTATATTTAAATGTGTTTGATTTTCATTCGATTCAATTAGCTTTTAAGAATGCATTTGACTTTCATTTGATTCAAAAAGCTTTGTTTGAATGTGTTTGACTTTCATTTGATTCAATTAGCATTGTTGAATGTGTTTGACTTTCTTTTGATTCATTTAGCATTGTTGATTGTGTTTGACTTTCATTTG